TGCTGGGCCTGCAGCCTGGGTCAAATGAGGATCCCTGGCCCCGGGTCGTCTCATTCACTCGCCGGGCCTGCGCTCTGGGTCTGTTCAGGATCCGGAGGACCCCGGGTCGTCTCACTCACTCGCCAGGCCTGCTCTCTGGGTTTGTTCAGGATCCCGTGGCCTGGGTCGTCTCACTCACTGCGGTTGCGCTCTGGGTCTGTGCAGGATCCCGCGGCCCCGAGTCATCTCTGGGTTGTATATCTTTAAATCTTCAAGGAGAAACACTGGGACTTTTAATGTCTGTAATGACAATTTGAGCAGTGATGACATATAGAGTAGACGCACCATAAGTAACCACCTTGTGAACAGTGAGCATCATTGTTGTATAAGTGAACTATATGAGGGCTTTAGATGCCTGGAGTCATCATCAGTGTATCACTAAGTGCAAACTCTATTGCTAAGCAGTACAAGCTCAAAAAATCAATACTTCTTCCTACCTTTGCTAACAGAATTCAGAAATACATGTTTAGCCTGAAAGTCCTCTTGGTGATATGTTGTTTTTCCCTGTGATAACATGTATAAAATGTAATTAGTGTCCCATATCTACATCCTCTAAGGACCCAGTCCCATACACTAGGCAGTAGTCACATAACTATTAAGCACCAAGGAAAGATATCATACTTGAAGAAGTAAGTTTGAAGTTTTTATGTCATGTTCAGCCTGATTCTTTTCTCAGAGATTTTGTGTCCAAAGGCTTTTATTAACTCGTAATTATGTCGTTCACGGCTACTGAAATGTATTTTTTGAAAAGCTCCATGTTCTGGTAGTTAAATACTACCTTTTCTCACCTTGAGAATGAGAATACTGCAAGCTGCTTCTCCCTTTCCAATAGCCCTGATCAAAAAACCCCTTTTATAAGAAGATGAGATAAAACATGATATGTGAAAGAATATGATTTAATTTCTAATGAAAGCATGTGATTTAGTTTTGTCTACTAATGTGAAAGGAAAGCGACATGAAACACAATTGTCTGAGGTAAAAAAATTATTATCTCAACCAAAGTGACACTTACTGTCACTGGATGCAATCTCTCATCAAAAATATCCAGGGATCTATTTGCCTCTCTGTAAAAGAGAAAGTGCACGTAAGTGCTATCAAAACATCTTATTGAAATACCTCATAGGGGTAGAGGAGGATGGGAGAAAGGGCATACCGTTAAGAGTGCCCAACTTTTCTCATAGAATTCAGACATAGGACTTCTACTTTAGTGTATCAAGTAATGTTACGTTTTGACTAAAATAATCAGCTACAGGTGACTCTAAAGCATGATTTTCCTCTATAGCCAATCTCGTAAAATAACAGTGATGGGGATTGAAGTTTTGAAATGTATCAATGTAAATGTGGGAGAGCTTCCAGCTATACTGCGCCTGCGGGACCAGTCCCAGCCCAGGCACAGCTTGGGCCGGACCCTCTCCCACACCCTCGGGTCAGACCCACCACTCTGCCGCAACTCCCCACCCCTCCCACCTGGTAGGAATTTCTGCCGAATTCCGGGAACCCCCAGACCCAGTACTAGCCCAGGTCCGGTGAGTGTGTGGAGAGCTTCCTGCTACCCTGCGCCGGCGGGATCAGTACCAGCTAAGCCGCAGTGTCGACCGGACCCTCTCCCATCCCCTCGGGCTGCCTCACAACACTCCGCCGAACCTCCCCCACCCCTCCCGCGCAGTAGGAATTTCTACTGATTTCCGGGAACACCCAGACCCAGTCCTACCCCTGGTTCACAGAGGGAAGGAGCTGAGCACAGCAGCCATACCTAAGCCAGACACAGCTGGATAAGTCCAAACTCTGTAGAGCTCCACATGAACTTCAGTACGTGTGAAGGTTATAACTACAGCAAAGATCTACAACAAAGGGCAGAGGAGAGTGCTACACAAAATAATGAAAAGGAACAAAATGCAGCCTCAGAACCCAAGCCCACCCATAACAAGTACAGAGGATACTAACACAGAACAAATTGGAAATCACACAGGTGAAAGCAATGAATCAACAACTTCTGAAATAAAACAGCTGCAGAAAGATAAAGAAGACTTCAGATTGGAAATCAAAAAAGAAATCCCTGAATTAACAACATCTGCACTAAAGAATCAAATGCAGAAACATATGGAAGCAACCCAGTGCCTACCCAGAACAAATGCAGAGGACACTATCTCGGCTCAAATGCATGAAACAAGAGCATCAATGGTAAATAAGCAACAGCAGCAAGATAGAGAGAAAATCAAAGCGCAACTCTTTTATGAAATAAAAAAAGAACTCTCAGAACTCATAGCACATGAAGTAAAGAAGCAACTACAGAAACATAAGCAGGAAAACCAAACTGAGAAAAACATTGCAGTAAAACAATTTCTAACAGATTCTAAGGAAGATATTGATAAAAAATAGAGGAGATTAGAAAATGACGGATTCCTTAAATAAGCAATACATTAAAGAAATAGATCGCATGAAGCAGAGTCAAAGAGATATAGAGGAAATAAAACTCTCAATCACAAGCTTGCAAAACCGTTTAAGTGAATGTGAAGATAGAGTTTCAG